AAAAAAAAAATAGAATTTTATTGCCAAGAACACGTTTGTTTGTGTTGTTGCTTTCCGTTTCCTTTTTGTAGATCAATTTTCGTGATGCAGGTACAGAACCAAATTTAACCCACGCGTACTAAATGACATTGTGGTACAACTTATTTTCAGTCTGCATTTAATGTAGAAGGTGGACGATTGTCTCTTTCGCCGAGTCTTTCATTGTTGAGGGTCAGCGCAGGTGGGAGGGAAATGGTTAAGAAGCCCGGTAAACATGAAAGAAGCAAACAAACAGGCTAAGATTTATGTTGGAAGGCCCTTGACCCTGCACATCTTTTGTTTTATGCTCATTGACTATGCATGATTACATAATCGCAATGCTTCTATTGGTTAGTTGTATGAGCACACATAACCACCTTTTGTATTTTGCCAGGTTCTCTACAGGGTCAACCCCCAAAATAGCAAACAAGAACATACAACAAAGAACTTTGCCAGGTTTCTTAACCATTTCCCTCTATTAACCATGGTTTCACTAAACTTAATGTTCATCAGCATTTATGGCTCGATACTCAATTAAGAAGGACATTGAGAGGTTTTAGATTCTTTTTGGAAACACCCATTGTAATCACTGAATTTGAACAATGACCCTGTTTTAAACAGTGAGATCGAACCGCCGTTTATAATAAACACCCAGCTGATTTTATGTGAAAACAGGATACCATCGCTTTTAGATGGCAGCCAATGTATATAATGATTTCGCTCCGATCAATTTAGATAGGTAGCATGTAAAATCGTACGATAAATAGTTTGCTGTACAGTATTTATTTATAGGATAAAGAATACCAGGCATTTTTACAGTGAATTTTTAATGGCAATAAATACGTTTTTATTCGTAATAAATTGAGTTGATGATACTGTATGTAAGTAAGTAAGTAAAGTAGTTTATTAAAACTCTCTTGCAGTATATTCCAAACTATTAAGCACGCCACTGTTCATTTTGCCGTCAGAGTAATAATTCCAACAGCAAAACACAACGTTTTGTCAAATCTTACTTTTCTAGAATTGAACAATAGTTTCGCCCCCATACTCAAAACTACGCATGCGCAGATACTCTTTTTCGTTTCCAGGTCACCTTTCAGATATCTTCCCAGAATCCCTCGAGGCTGCCTCACTGCTAAAGAGTTTAACACTTGTCTTACAGCCAAAAACATCAGTGCACCACTGACTAGAGCTTGAACAAACACTTTTCACTTGACTCTGAAGATGGCTTCCGCTGAGACTGACGAAGCTTCTGTCACCACCAACCTCGCTGGTCAACAGAGTTGCAAAACCTATTGTACCGGTA